TTATTCTCAAGAGAATGACGCAACCAATTAGGTCTATTACATAACCAAAATTTAGGATAAACTATGATTGAAGTTTTTATTTTTCTGATGAAATTTTCTTTATTTAAGGCGTCTTAACAATTGCACTGCCGGTTCCTGTAATCGTCTCCAACTTTGAAAATTTCTACAACAAGGAAGTGAACAGACGTAAGGAAGAGCAGCTCCGAAAAGACGAAGAAGAGCGACAACGACAACAAGAAAAAAGGAACAAGGAGAAAAAGATGGAAGAAATGGGGGTATCCAAGAGTTCACGCGGGATACTCGTTTGTGGAGTGAATGGCTGTGATGAGCCGCCGAACCCTACTATAGCACAAACGACAGTTTAATGAATGATTAATATGGCGTTCGTTCGTTGTAGTTTTTCTTAAATTTTGATGATATGAAGTTTTCACTTCAATGTTTGTATTCCTTGGAACTTTGTTTCTCGATCCAATTTTGGAAAATATTTTATATATAGACAAGGATTATATCGAAGAGAGGGATGGAATTCGAATGAAACGCTGACGCTGACAGCGTCAACCGCGACCAGCTCTTATATATCGAAGTTCTATCCTTTATAAGCCTTATTTCGCGTGAAAGAGCCTATCGTCCATTCCTGATGGAAATTTTGAAAGAGCGAAGAATTCTGAACAGCACCATGCAAAAATGTAGATCTTATTTGAAGTACAATTTCTATTACCGATATGAATATATTTGCAATTTAAAGCCTTCTGATACAAGGGCTTTTTAACTCACCAAAGAGTAATTCAAATCCGAAAAGTCCTTAAGATCGTACCAGCGAATTACACACAAACTGGCTCCAAAACTGGCAGAATTTTGAGATGATCACAATATTGCACAAAGCAATTCCCAGGGATGCTTATGGAATTGATAAACATACAGAGACACTGAGTTGTTTCACTATCAAACTACCTAGGAAAACCAGCACAGCACCAATAAAAAGGCAAACTTTTTAAACCTTAATAGGAATGTTGAAATAATTTTACGAGTTGCGCTGTCGAAAGAGAATCTCCACCAACTACGAGATGTAAAACAAAATGCATGGAAAATTTTGAATATCTACACAGCAGAAACTTCACAATATATTAGATAAATGAATCGAAGAAAATGCACAGAACACGAAAGAGAAACCAGAAGAAATACTTACAAATCATCCACAAGCTATCCAAGGAAATTCCAATCTTGGGACGAACGATTTACCGAAAACGCGCCTTTTTCGGTCGCAGGCGCGTGCAAGAACACTTCAATGGCTTCCTTGCTGTCAATCAACAGCAAATTTTAATTTTCCTTGATGAAAGACTCAAATTCCCTCCGAAAAGCTGCTTTTAACCAAGGAGAATATGGTCGTCGAATGGTAGGAGAAATTAAAGGAATGTATAATGCATTGGAAGATTAATTATATAAGAAGTGTCTCGAAGTCCAAACAATTCAGTATTTATATATATAAATATATATATATGACTTCGGTATTTGTATTAAATATTAGTTGGAAAATTTCAAGAAAACCACCCCGAAAAACTAATTCCAATGTGGCAAAATTGTAAAGATGACACATCAATATGCAATACAAAATACACAATTTCAAGCAAATTTAGGCCGCGTGACACGTGCCGTGACAGCCTCGTCCACGTGCGTGACAAAAAACAATTCCAGTTTCAAAATATTTGTGTATATTCGTTTTTTATTCCATTCGCACCTTTTTGTGCTATTTTATCTGATATAGAAATTTCATTTTATAGTTCTTTCTCTAATCCTAAAGGCTAATTTTCTAAGACCGACTATCTTAGCCGAATCCGATTGAATTAACCAACAGCGGGCCAGGAAATCTATATATGTCATCATGTGCGAAGTCATCAGGTTAAAAATATACAAGCTGAGAGCGAATGGTATTCTGGGTAGTGATAGAATTCTCCTCTGGGCCCGGTTGTACGAAAGGTGGATAGCGCTATGCAATATTATCCAGTTAATAAATTTATTGGATTAACCGCATTGACTTAACCACTGGATAAGGATTTTTCCATAGCCCACTTCCGAGATATGCTTCGCTTGTCACGCTCAAAGATTTCAGTATGAGGCTACGTGCTAAAGTAAATTTATTCTTACCGCCTGTCACGAATGACTGAGCATTTAGCACGTAGCCTCATACTGAAACCTTTGTGCGTGACAAGCGAAGCATATCTCGGAGCTGGGCTATTGCTGTTCATCCTTCGTACAACCGGGCCCTGATGTATTCACTTGAGATTCACAGTCAATATGAAACTTGCGTGAGAATCCTCAATATTATCTGTCAATTCAACAATTTATGAAAATTCCACGAATCGTATCGCTAGGTACATCTAACCAACGTAGTTCCCATGTAACATTTCGGTCTCAGTTTCTATGTTCTATGTTTTTGAACCCGACTATGATTTTGAGATTGAGTGTATATCACAATATGAAATAGAAGAATCAACAAACAAATACGCCTTTTTGGCGAGTTTACTGTTTAAAAATGTCAGATTTTTGCAGATGAGCCCGCGGTGCTTCTTGTCTCCGTCAACCGTCATATCAGACTAATTGATATCTATAAAAACGATAAAAAGTTTTGTATAGATCATGGAAATTACAACGGAACTAAATTGAAGTGGAAATAGTTATGCGTGGGACATCTGATAAATCTTAGTGCCCCTCATGTTCCCTTGAACCATATTTAACTGGAATCAAAAACCAGTTTAAACATGAACCAGATATTACCAGAACTAAAACGGTTTGTGGATTTGTTCTTCGGTTTTGACTGGAACCAGGAGAAACTTGCAAAGCACAAAGCTGGGTTTGGCTTTGATAAACGGTCTTAGAAACACAGGAATAATCTTAATTTCCACCGTGAACTACTGGGCTTCCTCCAGACCGTGATCGCCTCTATTCGTACTTTTTTTTTACATTTTTTTATTATAAGAGTGAATGAAATGCCCAACAAAGAGCCATTTCTTTGAAGTACATCAAGTACCTATCGTCCGGTTTGGGTCCCAGTCTCTCACGATTTGAAATTATTCACAAATTCGGCATTTAAGGTTTTGCCGAATTTATTTTCACTCGTTTAATATCATTCTTATCTTTATTGTAGTTTGAAACATTTTTCTCCCTTTTTTCTACAAATAAAATGCGATGGGTAAAGACGGCAGGCTCGTCTTTGATTGATCAGCGGCCTTTCCCCAAAACGCATGCGCTTAGAGTTTCTTAACCATTTGTGTTTATAAAACTCAATTTTCCTTAACTCTTGTAAATCTTAATTTTTCAGTAATAAACCAGCTATTTAGAGTTACAATTTTTTTTTTTCGAAATAGAATTGTGAATCTTAAATCTTAGGGATTATATCAAAAATTCTAGTTGTATTTAATCAGCAGAAATCTAAAACTATTCAAATTAGCCCGCCTTATTTACCGAATATTAATTTTTTTCCTATTTAGCAAGATTCCAATATGGCGGTTATGACGTCACATGGCATTACTAACTGCACACGGTTGCGGCCATTTTGAAAATGATCGTAAAAAGCGAATCTGGGCTCTGCTTCTAATAAAGATTATCCTAATATTAGCATCGAGAGCAAACTAGAAATGAATTAAGATAGATAAGGTGGACGTGAGAGCCTGGTCGCTTTTCAAAATGGCCGCCACACCGACTGTACTTCAAGGAGTATTTTCATAACGCTTTTATGAAATTTTGAGATGGAGCAAATTAAAGCGCAGATGTTATAAAGTTTTCAAGACGTTAAGGTGCTTCGTGTTCGGATGTAATAGTAACCTTAAAGTTTTGGCTTATCATTAAAGTGCTACTCTGACGAAAATCGCTCAAACTTGGATTCAGCTGAAACTTCCTAAAATTACTCTTTAAAGGTCCAATAATCACTGTATGAAGTGTTTTCTCGATATTCTGGACGAAAGTATGATATTTTTACGATTATTTTTTGGAGTCTGTGACGTCATGCACTCAACATCAAACATCGCTCCATACATTTCTTTGTAGTTTATGRTCAAAATATCAGTAGTAAAGGGAGAAAGAAATACCCAAATACCCCAAAATATAGATTATAGTCACAAGTAATGTGAAATTAGCACATTAGCCACCCTTTGGACTTCACAGGAATAAAATGAATTAAGGATTTATATACAAAGAAATGTATGGAGCGATGTTCGATGTTGAGTGTATGACGTCACAGACTCCAAAAAATAATCGTAAAAATATCATACTTTCGTCCTGAATATCGAGAAAACACTTCATACAGTGATTATTGGACCTTTAAAGAGTATTCTTAGGAAGTTTCAGCGGAATCCAAGTTTGAGCGATTTTCGTCAGAGTAGCACTTTAAAACTAGATCGAAAGATCTCGCAAGACATTGGAATACCTTAGCATAAGAAAAAAGTCGCCCTCTTCTTATACAGATATAGTATGACGTCACAAAATGCATTACGATGACATCATAAATATACTAATGACCGTGAAACGTCATGCGCATTATAAAGACGTCATGCTACTGCTCTTTGTGTCGTCATATTGCATCTCATTGTCTTCATTTATACGCATTAGGATGACGTCACACCATACTACTTATTAGTTTGTGACGTCATGATATGCCTTAAAATGACGTCATACTACTAAACAGCGTGTGACAGGGAGAATTAAGGTGCTGACACACGGTGCAACATTGCCTGCAACATTGCACGYWACAGGACTGTTGCAGCGTGTGTCTACCCCAAACTTGTTGCACGCAACGTTGCCTGCAACTAATCTGAAATTGAATCGCGCTCTACTCTTGCAACATTTTGAAATTTCCAGCCAATCAGCTTGCACCAAATTTATAACTGCTGACCAAATACCTTAACATAGCAGGCTGACACAAGCGATGTTGCRTGATATTGTTGCAATGTGTGCCACCCCGATTCAAATTTGTTGCGTGCAAAGTTGTGTGCAATGTTGCCCCGTGTGTCTGCACCTTTATGTCCAAGTTTGAAACCAAAGCCATGTTTTGTGACGATTTTGCCCAATCAACCAAATTAAACAACAACGATAATAATAGTAATAATAATAATGATATTAATAATAATCAAATATTAATGACACTGAATTCATTTTCTTTCTTACGATTGAACGTTTTTAACATAATAAATTTTAATATATTTTACTTTCCAATCTGCGTTCGCTCGTTGTTATAATAGCCCAATATGTATATGAATCTTCATGTTTTTTCTTATGATCATTTTTGAAATTCTTCACTCTTGCTAGCCATGATATTAATGATGCTAATGATAATGAAAATAATATTCCAATTTTCAAAGATTATGAAATGAAATAAAGTTTGAAAAGGTAGAAAATTTGGGTTTATTATCTTGTGAGCTATGGTTTTTGGGTGTCGGACTGGTGGAGTAGCTGTTTTGTTGTTGTTTTTGTTTTGTTTTGTTTGTTTGTTTGTTTGTTTGTTGTTGTTATTTGCTTGGTCGGTAGCAGTCGGTCGGTAGGTCGGTTGCCGAAGTAGATAGGACGGTTGTTTCAACAACTGGATAATAATAATAATAATAATAATAATAATAATAATGGCTTTTATTTAAACATGATAATAAACTACAGCGTTGGTGATGCAGTCGGATGGTTGGTCGGTTAAGGTTGGATATACAAGTTAGGAGATTTTTCTTAACTAATTAACTCACATAAGCGCACCTATTTTCGTATTTCATTTTTCCTCAATTATAATTTTTCAACACACGGTACTGACTTCCAGCACGTATACGGCACGGTATATACTGTAACAGTTAAATAACTTCCCATAAGAATGGTTATCTCATGAGTAGGGAACGTACGGTATTGACTTGAGGTTCTGACACACGGTGCAACATTGCATGCAACATTGCGGGCAGCAGGAATGTTGCAGCGTGTGTCTACCCCAAACTTGTTGAACGCAACAAATCTGAAGCTCAATCACGCTCTACCCTTGCAACGTTGGCGCAACAAATTTCACCATGTAAACATGGCTGCAACATTACATGCAACGTTTTGAAATTTCCAGCCAATCAGCCTGCACCAAATTTATAACTGCTGACCAAATATCTTAACATAGCAGGCTGACACAGGCGATGTTGCGTGATTTTGTTGCAATGTGTGCCACCCCGATTCAAATTTGTTGCTTTCAATGTTGCGTTCAATATTGCATTGTGTGTAAGCACCTTTACAGCACGTAACGGTAAGCATTGAAATGGCTTCCCATAAGAATGGCTATCGCATGAGTAGGGAACGTACGGTATTGACTTCAGCACGTGCGGAACGAGATGCCTTAGCATTGAAATGGCTTCCCATTAGGTTGTCGTATGAGTGGGAAACATACAGTACTGACTTGTAGCACGTACACGGTACGACATGCCGTAACACTGAAATGGCTTCCATTATAAAAATTATTGTATGAGGTTGAGCATCATATCGTAAATTATCAAGACCCAAGGCCTTGTTATCTGCCGAAGACGTAGGATTTATATTCTGTTTCATAAACCAGGTCTGAAACAGAAAAACATTTCCATTTATTTGTAAAAACAATCAACAACTCCTAAAAATGCTTAAGCTGCACCATTTGATATTTTATTTTTTTAATCAATTTTACAAATTTATATATCATACGCCCTGCAATAACGGGATATCGTAACCACAGGCAACCCAATTTAGAGAAAAGTAAAACTCCCTTGAGTCAAATCTAGATTTGAATCTTTGCAGTACATGAAATATTTGAATGTCCTGGAAAGACTACTTGATACGGTCAATGATTCTCACGCGATATAGTTGGTAGGCTAATTGAGGTTCTTCTAGATGTTAGAGTGGTTTTACTAAACTCGTAAAATAGTAGGACTCAAGGACTTAACTATCTTGGTCAAACTCAACTAGCTTCTGTCAAAGATATAGATGCAAACACGTTCTACAGTCAAACTAGTTCATGCGTTCCTAGCAAGGTTCAAAAATTCATTTCATTATTCGAAGCTCGATTTCCATCTCGCTTTAAAGCTTGCATTGAGAATTTGTTGCAGTTTTCTTCATACTTTTGCTATCCACTTAAGTCTTAAACTACAAAAATGCAATATAAGATAGACTTATTTTCAGTAAATTGGGGTCCCTATGGTTTTGACAACCATAAACTGAGATGAAATATGATTGAAAAATAAGCTTTTGTGTAGCAACATTGTAAAGATTGAGACGTCATATCATAGTAGCAAAATGAAGCCTGAATGATACCAAAATATCAAAAGTCAAATCAGGTGCCAAACAATAAGTTGTTTTAATTAGGATGTGAAAAAATTTAAAAGCTAAAAGATGTTATATTAACACGGATTAATGAATTGAAAATATAAAATAATGAGGGATTCATGCCTTCAATTCATGTTACTTAGCAACAACACAATCTAGATGATTACCATGGATACTGTTGCTAAGAAACCCTGGGAAAAACTCATACTTAGCAAAAATAGAAATTGTTAACTGACTATGAAGCTAGCATAAATTTCTTTGAAAGAAGAAGAAGAAAAAAGAACAGCACAACCAAACAATACTACAAAACTTAAAAAAGAAAATTTTAAAACAATTAACATTAAAAATTACAAAATCAAAAGCATTAAGGAATTTGAAGTTAGTTACTTAACAACAAAATGAGGTGGCCTAGCAACAAAACAGATTCGTTACTTAGCAACGATAAACTCTTGCTGTGACCTAGCAACAAATTAAAGTGGTCGCCTTACAACGGGTTTTTTATAATTGTGTAGAATTATGTCAGAATTAAGTACCTGAAGTATCAAGTGTTAGCGATAAAGCAAAATAAATAACACCCAGATTCGTTACTTAGCAACAATACACTTAATTGGTGTCACCTAGCAACACAGAAACAAAGTGGTTGCCTGGCAACGATTATTTTWAAAATTCATTAGAATAAATGAATTAAATGCTGGCAATAAATCAAAATAAATAAATAATACACCAAATTTTTCACATTCTTGTGTCATAAATTTACCTTTTTTGTGCAAATACGCTCGTAAAATTCCTCCGTTAAATGCTAGCTATACTATTAAGGCATCCAGATATTCCGGCGAAGCGGTAAAATGCAAGTTGATTCGTCAGTATAAAAAGCTCTGCACCCGTAAGATCACAAGTCTCGGGTCACGTGTCTTGATTTACAGCTATATTTAAAACCAGCTAATCTCACATACCCAATCCCTTGTAGGTAATATTCTACCGCTGAGAGAGGGCCTGGGTTAGGGTGAATTACTAATAAAATTTTGTCACGGGAGATTTTGTCATACGATGATTGGTTGAGCGTTTTGACGTCACTTGGCGTCACCAATATCATTGGTTGGCTCGACTAATCCAAATATAATCGACGCCATTTTGAATATTACGGAACTTAATCAATTTGCAATTCTAACAGGCCTTTTGACTGGCTGTAGAAAATGACCGTGTGGGGTCTGGGTACCAGTACTTCAAACCGCCACCTGGCTTTACAGACATACTATGAGTCATGGTGTCTTAGCTGAGTCACACTGCTCCTTATTGGCTCATGCCTGAAACATCCGTTCCTCCCGAAAAATCCTAATAAATATATGTTATTTCTAATTTCGTAAATTTCCCCAATGTTAATTTCATGAATCGGATCCGATTGAATTGTCATCAAAATCAGACCACAGTTCACTACGCCAGTTCCCACCTGATAAAGGCTTGTGTATGATTCCATCTCTTAGGATTTCTTCGTAAAAAAGATGAAAATTCCTTGTCTATTTGTCCATTTCTACCCAAAATTTCACTCATTTCCATCTAGTTTCTAAAGCCTTTCACTACAATTAATTTAAATCCAAAAAATTCCATATTTTATTTCACCGATATTGCTTTGTTAGGACGAATTTAAAAGTCGTCACCTTAGGACAGCCATTCGTAAAAAATTCGGCCATAAAAGGAGAAAGGAATCTGTGTCCAGGTATGTCGCAACGCGGATGTATAATCTTTAAAATTCCTTTCTAAATGCGTCATCACCAGGACAGATGTTTTATAGTCTTATTAGTCATTCCTTCCAAATGTCCTTGTGTTCACAATTTTGTATATATATATATGTCGATTACAGACCAATTGTATGCCAGCTCGTTAGTGTGTATATACGCTTTAAACAGCATTTATTTAAGATACTGCCGGTCGTCCATCAGTGTGTTCAAATTTCACGTATTGTAGTCGAAGTGCTTTGGGTATTAATGTGACTTTTTTAGGTCCAATAACGACTTGTCTAAATACATCAAGAGCTCGAACGACTTGTCATTTAGCACACATTATCAAGCGCAGAGTATTGAAGATAATCCTCTTGTTTGTACTCTTTAATCAATGTCTTTAAAAAATTTTCCATCGATATTTCAATCATGAATCTCTCTCCGGCCTCGTCAGAACATCGATCATTTTCACTGCTGGTGTCAATTTGTATATATTATAACTAATTAAAGCTTTCAGTCATATTTCACTTCGTTTCTGACGTTCAAACTGGAGTTTCAACTTTGACTTCTAGATTGTAAGTATTTTGATTGGTAGGTGACGGTATTTGCCCTGATGGACTTGAAACCAAGGGACCGTTGACCATATCGCCTTCTGATTCTTCTTGCTCGCAGTAACTAGCGTACGGAGACTGGCCATTCTCAGCCAAATCGAGCGAGCTCGCAAGCTGTTCTCGCTTATAGAAGTAGTTAAAGTTAGAAACGATTACGGGTACGGGCAGGGCGATTGTAAGTACACCCGAAATAGCACAAATTGAGCCCACTATTTTCCCCCAGAGCGTGACGGGAAACATATCGCCGTAGCCGACCGTCGTCATGGTAACGACCGCCCACCAGAAGGCATCGGGAATGCTATTGAATTTTGATCTTGGATCTTCCTCTTCGGCGTAGTAAACAGCGCTTGCGAATAAAATGACGCTGATGAAGAGAAAAAAGATCAGCATTCCTAATTCCCTTGAGCTTGCTCGCAGAGTTTGGCCAAGAACTTGGAGTCCACGAGAATGCCGGGAAAGCTTAAAGATACGGAAAACACGAACTAGTCGGATAACCCTGAGCACCGCCAAAGACGTAATTTTGGTGTTTTCCATCGGCAAAGTTATATAGTAAGGTAGAATTGCCACTAAGTCTATCACGTTTAGGAACGACCGTGCAAAAAGTAGTTTGTGAGGTGAGGAGAAAAGTCGTACCAAATATTCCAAGGTGAACCAAGATATGCATAAAACTTCCATCACAAACCAAGCAATACTTCTGTCGGCTCTACGTTTCGATGAAACGGTGGTGGTCGAATTAGTACGACCAGTTTCAACCACCTTTCTCTCGCATCCAACATTTTCGGAGTTGGTTACACACCGATACTGAGGCAGAGTTTCTATGCAGAATACGACTATAGATAATAAAATAATAGACACTGAAAATGTGGCAAGGACTCGTGCTCCAAATGAGCTATCGGGGTATTCAAAAAGCTCCCATATTTTCCTCTGTATCGTATTTTTCGGTAGAATTCGCACTTCTTTTTGACCGTATCCTTCTTCTTCCTCAAGCCGTTGGACAAATTCTCTCCCAATTTCGAAAAATCGGAGCTCCTCGGTAAAGATCAAAAATGGCACTCCATTTGGTCGTACTAGCTTTCCCTTGGATTGGTAAAAAAACAATATGGCTTCAAAGGTCGATCTATTCCGATCGAAAAAATATTCATTCATCGCGCTGTCATAGTATTCTTCTCGCTTTTCTTTACTTCCAAGTAGAGTTTCAGGAAATCTTTGAAGAGTATTTTCGTAAGTTTCGAATCGAAGGCCGCTAACGTTGACAATAATGCGTCTATCTTTCTTATAGCGATCTGAAAATTCACTCGAAGAATCAAAAGACCGTCTCTCGTCTCGAGCTCCACTTTCTTCATCTAGTTTATCAAGTCTTGGGTTTAGTTCGTAAACGTGGTTATTTTCACACGATTTCATCGTAGCATTTGCAGTAGTTTTGATACGATAAACTCGCCAAAAACATCCACTATGCTCGTGTAGTTGTACGCCTTCGCTTACCGAATATGATCAGTCGATAGGCCTATAGACTCGCTAGTTCCTTTAGAATAATTTATAACTCATAACCAACAAAAAGGCTAGTTCAATTGAACAATCCACAGCTTCAAATATTCACCCAAAGTCTTCTCTGAAATACAGGAGGATAGATGGATTGAAGACGTTCCAGATTTCTTAGCTTTTACCGATTGAAAACAAGAAAAGAGCCATGACAGGTGCGTTCAAATGAATTTCCTTTCATTGTTTTCCAAGCTCTCTGTCATTTTAGAATTTACATTTTGAATTGGGTTTGAACATTCATTCAAACCTGGTTACCAATAGGCTGCGGAACAATGGTACATCCGGGACTTCCACCACGTGGAGATCTCCGTCGCATTATAATATTTTTCTCATTTACTTAACCATTAAAACTCCGCGACCAGTACTTGATAAGACGAAAAAGACATAGATCTTCGCTTTTACGAGACTCTCTAAATCAGATCCTGGTTTAAAACAATATTAGAATTAGTATCTATTTTAGTCTAGTGCTAATGGAACAAAATGTTCGTTCAAAGTTTGCCACTCTTGCGCGCCAAAACTTGTACAAATGACTGCTTTTGGTTCGCGCCAAAACAGAAAAAAATTATGCCGAAGCGTCAATAAATATTTTAAATATTTTCTCTTTATAACCTTCGTCCTTTACCAAGAGAAGCTATTCTCTAATTTYAATTCTAATACAAAATATTCCTAAAATTTTAAATTCAATTCTTTTTTTTTTTATCGGTCGTTATTGAATTCACTATAATAATGAATTTAAGCCTAAATGATCAAAGAATAAGAAAATTAAAACAAATTGGTACAACTATATTTTGTTTGATTAAACATATGAAAGTCATTTTCTACGACGAAATTGCAGCTCAAGAAATTTACTCCTTGTAGCCATGAGTCATAATTGCTGTCGCTTTGGATAATTTAAAATTTACTTCATTCTTCTCATCTTAATTCAATAACATGAGAATTATTTAAGACTAAAATAGGAAGCTATACAAAACACTACCGAGTATTTTTAAGCGAAGTTAGGTCGTCTTGAATAATCTTGGGAACGAAAATAACTGAAGCTGTAATACTTGTAATGAACAATTTTAAATCTAAATTCGGAAAAGTAGTTCTCTAGTTGCGAAGAGGACCCTAAAATTGAATACAAACAGCAGTAATAATAATAATATTTTCATGCAGGTTAACGAGAAGTCGATGGTTTTTCAATGATTGACAGAGTGTCATTCAAACAAAGCTCAAAAAGACGCGAGCTCATAAAAGAAATAATTAAAAAAACAGACTTCTTGTGCCACTGAAAAACCGATATTAATATTTGAACGAAACTAGTACTTCTTTTCATGAATACTGACCAAAAAATTCATAATTTATTTATACCTGTCTAGAATTATTAACTAAAAAAGACTGACTTACAAGAATGAAAATGCTTCTTGTCAAAGACTTAAGTTCTGGTAATTTCAATACGAACCACAGAAACTCGAAAAAATAAAGCAACAGAATGAATGGCTTATTTTTGGGGATAAAAAGAATGAAGTGAAGTGGRAAAAAAACAGTCTCTTTGGCACTTATAATTTTTAAGACAACTTTTGATGCATTTCCATGCGTATTTTTAAATTATTCGCTCGTCAAAGTCTTACTTAGCGTCTTTTATCAGTGAGATTATCATAAAACGAAAAAGATAATCTTTCAACTGAACAAAGTGTGAAGCAAAGGGTATGCTTTTTGCTTTTACTGCATTTAGATAAAAAGAATTGCCAGCCCGAGCGAAACTATCTTTTCTTTAACTTTATTACAAATTAAGTTGTTCAGTTTTACGTATCAAAGCTCGAATGAAATCCTTTTTTAACAACTGCATTATAGTTTATATTTTCTAGTTGTTATTGCAGTTATTGCAAGTGTAAATTCGAAATGAAAAAAAATGTAACCGGTTTTCTAGTTTTGTTTCAGTTCGTTCTTACCACTAAGAATTAAAGAATCTAGTAATGAAGGTAAAATATCTTTAGCCTTCAGCTACAATCATATACCCAACGTGGGCGAGGCTGGCGATTTTAATAACTCCTTGATAACAAACATTTAAAATGACAAAAAATACCATCGATTATATTAATATCATCAATTTTTAAGTTACGATTATGATGATGAGTCAGTTTTGACTTCAGTCTTTGCGTGAAAGTTTATACAAACACGATTCTTGTTCTATGTTAATCCGTTCTCTTCCCACTTGGTAAACATCAAATTTTATCAGATATATTATCAAGAATAAAGCAGAAAATGCTGGTAGAAATAGTAACAAAAATCTCCCCTCGCTCAAACTCATGCCGTGAGAAAAATTTAATTCATTACGAAAAAGTTTAGCTGGAAGTTTTCTTTTATCCAGATGTTTTGAAGGGAAACCACATTCGCAAGGTATTCTTTCGTGGTAGAATATAGTACAGTTTAATTGCCTAGAATTCAAGTTAAATGAAATTTTGAGCATTGGAATTGATTCTGGGTTGATAAACTAGTATTATTTTTAAATGAATAAAATGAAATGAAATGAAAATGAATAATTCAAGTAAATAGATATACAGATGATATATCTCCCAAAGTCACCTTCATTTTGAAATATTTCAATGATTCAGTTCAGCAATTATAAGAGTAGAGTTTGTTAGGTCTCTCCCTTGATTCGAGGGTTTTCCTCCCCTAGTAACGAGCATTCGATCTGTAACGAGTTAGCCGTTAGGCTGTTTCAGGGTTCGTTCTGTGAGTTAGCCATGCCCTGGCATACATTAGGGACCATTCGTTGTTTCAGGGTTCTAGCGTGCCCCGAGGTTGTTTCGTGGTTTGAACTGTAAAGTAGCCGTGCTGTGACTTAGATCAGCCCAGAGGTACGCTTGTTTCAGGGTATCGATAAAATTTGAAGATTAAATAAAACAAAATGATTAAGTTTAGTCTACCCAAAAACAAAATAAAATTTCACATGGGGTTTGGTTAAGCTAACATTTCCTCCCCTCTGATTGAATATTCGTTATATCTTTACTTGTATATTTTTGATAAATCTAAAACTCTTGTTAACCGATTCAACCAACTTACTTTGAAAAAGACAAATATTACAAATATTGATTCATTTTGAACGAATGAAGGAATGATTTCATACGGAATAAAACACTGATAATGACTGAATAATTCTGAAATTGTCGGCCATGGAGACCATACCATGAGATCGATACATAAAAGGTTGGTTCGCACGTATTTTTCATAACAAAAGGGAGTATAATAACGGGGATTCTACATAATGCATTTTACTAATTTGATTGAATAGGTTTACAATTATGATCAGTGCACGAAATGATGGGATGCATATTGAAGCTCTTTGGGAGCCACGCACACTTTTATGACTATGAATTGATAATTATCATTGTCATCATCGCCACCAACATCATCATCATTATCATATCATCATCATCATCATCATCACCACCACCATCGCCACCATCAACATCAAAATCATCATTATAATCGTCATCCTTATGATCACCATTCATTCTCCTCCTCCTCCTTATCATCATCACCATCATCATCTCCATCACTATCATCATCACCATCATCATTACCATAAACATCATCACCATCATCATCATCAACAGCATCAACATCATCGTCATAATCATCCTTATCATCGTCATTTGTCATCGTCATTCATGGTCACTATTCATCCTCTTCCTCATCGTCATCCTCACCATCATCGTCATCGATCATCATAGTTTTGCTGCATAATTGGGAGGGCTCCTAAATTGGTGTACGCCCATTTATACGAGTTTTAAAATGTTCAAAATGTTTCCCACTCATACTATAACCATCCTTGGGAAGCCCTTTCAATGTTACGGCATGTCGTACCGTGTACTTGCTGTAAGTCGGTATCATACGTTTCCCCCTCATACGACAACCATTTTAATGGGAAACCATTTCAATGTTACGACATGTCGTACCATGAACGTGCTGTAAGTCAGTATCATACGTTTCCCACTCACACGATAACCATCCTTATGGGAAGCCATTTCAACGTTACGGCATGTCGTACCGTGTACGTGCTGAAAGTCAGTACTTTACGTTTCCCACTCATACGATAACCACATCCGTATGGGAAGCCATTTACCAATTTGCCAATGTTACGGCATGTCAGTTCATACGTTTAATTACTTGATCGATTACATYGTGAAGACTAACTATTAACTTAAAGTTTATCTGCTTGTCCGAGCAGGGTGAATGTCGTGCCATAAATAACTAAAATAAATGATGACATTTTAAACCGCTCGAATTCTTGTGGGGGGGGG